GTCAGAACATTTTTGAATCATATCACGAATATTTTCCTTGTTTATTCATACATTTACTTAAAATTGTTTCAGTCATAAGCTGAGGAAACTCCTTAATTATGACTCCCGAATCTCTATCAGGGACAGAAGTAATCCATTTACGCGTGCTCGAATATATTGCACATCAGCATGTGCATGTGTGGACTGTCCAATTTGTTGACTAAAGATTTTCTTTTAATTTTGAACATACGAGGGACTTTCAATAAGTAATGCCCCTGACCCATTTCCCATAGCAAGAGATTAATGAAACCTGGCACAGTTATTAGTCCTTCTCTACATAAGAACCACCTAGAGTTATGCATTTCTCCCATTGTTTGATGCAGCTCTGGACACCGTTTTTGTAGAACATACAGGTTGGTCCTCCAACCACGTCGTAACTTCAGAAATCAAGGCTTCATCACCTTTTTTTTCAAAAACAACTTTATGGCTGGGAAGAGATGGAAGTCAGAGGGTGCAAGGTCAGGGGGTGGGGAGGATTTCATAGCCACAGGCCCATACTTCTGATCCAGCGACATGCGAGTTGTGGACCGAAGCGTTGTCCTGCAGGAGGAGGATACCTTTACTTATCTTGCCCGCCTCTTGATTTTCATAAAAAGTGAAGCGTGATAGGCTCCTGTAATTGTGGTACCCGTTGTCAGGAAATCTGTCATCACTACTCCGTCCTGGTCCCAGAAGACTGTGAGCATGACCTTTCCAATGGATGGTTGCACCCTTGCCTTCTTTGGAGGTGGTGAGTCCAAGTGCTTCCACTGCATTGACTGGGCTTTGGTCTCTGGATCATAGTGATGGTCCAAGTTTCATCCTGTCTAATCAGTCTTTTGAAAAACTTTGACTCATCTTTTTGGCACATCTCAAAATTCATCCTCGAGCAATGGAAAGGTGTGAGCAACCAGGGAATCCATCTAGCAGACATTTTATGGATATGAAAATGGTCATGACTGATAGTTTCCACAGATCCTGTACTAATCTTGACCTCTTGGGCTATTTCGCGAACAGTTATGCGTCGATCTTCCAAAATGGCTGCCTCAACTTGACGGACAGATACCTCATCAATGGCAGCAGAGGGACGACCAGGTACAGGAGCTGTTTCCACAAACTTCTGGCCATGTTTTAATTCACGATGCCAGCGTTTTACAAGATCATATGATGGGGCATCATCACCATAAGTTTCTTTCATTTCATCAAAAGTCTCCTTTGGTGTGCATCCTTTCAAATACAAAAATCGGATCACTGCGCGACACTCAACTGGCTCCATTTCACACCTGACTCAGTTCAAACACCTTTAAATCAGAAACCACAATTAGTTCAGATCTGTATTTTGCAACATAACCCATGGAAATGCAAGTCATTACACATGCAAAATTTCATTTAGATCAGACAACTGGAAGTGGGTTACTTATTGAAGGTTGAATAAGCTGCGTTGCATTTTCAAATTTGGCCTGTTTTTTCGACTGTGGCCTTTTTTTAATTAATGATGGTCGAATCACTTTTTCGTGTTAAATGCATATGAAGACTCTTAACTTTTGCCGATAAG